GAATTTGTGGTCCTAAACAATTCAAAAAGGGGCCCAAAGTATTTGTGTGGTTATAAATGTTTCTCATTAAGGATAGAATTGTAAGTTTAAGCTAAATTGTTTCCAAATTTTGAAAGGGGTTATTCTTTTTGGAACTGATCAAAAAGTAAATAGGTTCACATAAACTGGAACGGAGGGAGTACTACTTAACACATCTATACTATATTAAAAGCACGAAGACCCTTAGCGAATTGTTGTTCGTCTTTTTTACCCTCCGTAAATGCACTTTATAATGGATAAAATTGTAAACACAAATAAATAAATTTAAAAAAGAAGAAAAAAATTAAGAATAAGAGAAGAAGAAGGAAAGTCAAACTTTTAGGTAAAGTTTTCGTAGGTTAAAAAGGGAAAAAGAATAAGACAATAAGTAGGAGATCCATTATTTAATATCACTATTTAATATGTTATTAAAGAGGTCAAATTCGATTAATTGCTACGGATCTAAAAGATGTTCGTAATTTCGTAAGCACCTATAATGATTTTTCCAGCTGCATATAAGACCTAATCTCATTGCTAAAATTCTACATTTGTCTCTCCAAGATAGAGCCTATTTGGCCAAATTCTCAAGTTTATTTATTTATTTTAGTTGTTTTATAATTTCTATAATATATTTTTATTGATTAAAGAAATAGAATAATTTACATTTTGATTGTGATAAGAAAGAAAAATGTCTATTATCAGTTAGATGATCCTATATGTGTTTTTTTAGAATGAATTTAAGAATTTATATTTCTCAAGAAGATTTTAGAAAAAAAATTTAAATTTTCAAAAGTTTATGTGTTCTCGATGAAAGTAAAAAATAATCATGACAACTTCTAATATTCATAAATGTTAAGTTAAATATTGACTAAGATGATTGAGAACTTCAATATTATTATTGTTTCTCATTTATTGAATTGTTGAACAAAATCAACTATCATCATTTTTCAGGAACTCATATTTTTTTCTTACACTTTTTTTAATAACTCAAATGTAATTAGTTAATATATATTTATGCAATTTAAAAAAAATATGTATTCACTGAGACGAGATACACGTGCAATGCGCGTACCGTAGGACTAACACTATATTAAAACCACGAAGACCCTTAGCGAAATGTCGTTCGCCTTTTTTATCCTTCAAAAATAAACTTTACATTGGACAATAATGTAATTTAAGTTAATTTCTTAATATTTAGGACTTTAAAATTAGCTAAAATTTTGATTATTAAATTTTCCTTATTTGAACTTCAAATAAACTCCTAATATTTAGGTTACATATATATGTTTCTTATTTTAACTGTCTAAATTAATATAACTTCTCTCCTACAGGTACATTAGATATTTACCAATAAAAATAGATCTATCTTAAGACTTTAATTATTGAAGTTGACTAGGAAAATTCTAAACCAAACTTAAAGGCACATCAGTAAGAAATATCTTTAAGTAAATTTACAAACGATATGTCAATATTTGAAAATAATAATAGTTTGTAGTGGTAAAGAATACTACAATATATTTTAAGTTTTTTTTTTAACGTATTGTAATATTTACATGTATCAAATCAAAAGCTCAATTAGAATATTGGATAAGTGAAGGGTATGTAAGATGCTATAATTTATATATTGAAAGTAACAACAATAAATTGTATTGTAATTATTTTATCCATTTAAAATATTTTCTTATTCTTTAAGATACATGATACAATTTTATCCAGCACAAAATTTATTTTTAAAGAGTAACGATTAAAATTTTGCAAAATTTATTTTTAATGAAACTTCAACACGAAATATTTTTGATCGATTTTTTTATCCTTTAAACATATATTTCTCCTTGGAATAAATATTATTTAATTATATTTTAATACTTTAGGGCTTTGAAATCAACTAAAACTTTGCTTATTAATCTTTGTTTATTTTTTAAGAAACACTAATTTTTACTCTTTTTGGCCACTGAGCATGAAGTTTAAGAAAGAAGAAAAACTTTTAAAATTTATGATCTAAAATAAGACACAAATATTTATGCAGCTACAAATTATCTCCTTAAGAGTAAATTAGAAAATTTAAAATTAAATAATCTATCTATATTNTAAGTCTATATGAACGAATACTATGTATCTTGATTACAAAAAACAAATATTACCACCATGTAAGAAATAGACATATAGATTTCAAGGGGGAAAAAAGACTCAATCCGAGAAAAAAATCAGAACATATTTTAAATCTTTAAATCTCTTTGTTATATAAAAATAATTTATTTTCTACATAAAATATTTATTTTAGAATGTTGACAAATTAAATTAGGTTTTATTTATTATTCTTCATGGAAATGGAAAACTAATTATACTTACTTATAATCTATAGTCGTAATAAATATTGTTTACTAAACCTTCCTCTACATTAGAAAAATCAATTCTTTAAATATATAATTCTCTACTATATACCACGTATTTTTTATATTTGGAAAGTTTTTTAAATTTGTAATCTTTTGTTATAAAAAATAGCTTACCTTCAATTTTCTACATAAAATATTTGTGTTAGAATCTTGAAGATAAATTAATTGTGAAAAAGTTACCATTTATTTTAAAGCTTCATTATTTTTTGTATTCATTATTTGATAATTAATAAAAAAATGTTATTATTTCCTTGTAGGGTGATTTTAGGAATGCACTATATTTCCTTTTCAAAAATTTAAGTTATTATTCAATTTTTCAAGCTTTTAATATTTTTAAGAAAAATAATAACTATTTAATTAATACTATTGGATGAAGATCTAAGAAAGTTTATTTAAAGAACAACTTCCTGAAGACTGGCCTAATTAGGTGACTGAAGTTTTATGAAAAATTACATTATTTAGTAGATATATTTGGGAATGTAGTGACGCATCTACCGAATAAACAATCAAATTAAATATTTATATCCAGTAGTTAAAGTTTATAATATTTTGATGAAATAAAAATTTTGACAAATTGTGACGTAATATAATACTATCATTGGTCTAATTGATAGTCGAAATTTGTATTACTTGTATTCCAAAGAGATGTTAGACGAGATACAACAGCATGACATATTTATTTCTTATTTCACAAGATATTATATTATATAACTAATTCAACTATATTCATCATCTTTGTATGTTAAGAAGATATTGTTTCAATGTATACAATAATTTATTTATTTATTTTATATATTTTATATTGAATGACGTGAAACACACGTGCAACGCACGTACGTTAAAACTAGTACTATATTAAAAGCACGAAGGCCCTTAACGAAATGTCATTCGCCTTTTTACTCTTATAAAACAGAGTTCACACTGGGTAAAATAGTCATTCACTTGTTTTCCTAATATTAGGACTTAAAAATTAACTAAATATTTTTCATTAATTCATTCCTTATTTAAACTAAGTACGAAGCCTCAATATACTAGGCATCATATTCTGATATCTTATAACTTAATTTGAGCAACATTCTACACGTGTTATGCAGTTATTATATACTTTAAATAGGAAAAAAATAAAATCTGAGGTCTTTACACGACAATTCTTTCTATTTAAACTATATAGTAGTATAAAATATTTTGTAGTAGAAAATCAAAATAATTTTAACCGATTAATTTTAGGTGAAGATTTGGAGCATCTTCAATTCTGGTCGTCTTTTTTACCTTTTTAAAATAAATTTCATACCTAAAAAAAAGTCATTGTAATTATTTTTCTCATATTTAAAAATAATCATTTAATTATTTTTCTAATATTTAATCCTCTAAATGCTTCCTTATTTAAATTATATAAAGTATCTAAAATTCAATCAGTCGTTATTTCTCTTGAATTACCTGTTAACAATTAGTCAAACCATCTTGACGTGCATTCAGCTAAAATAAATATATCTATACTATATTAAGAGCATGAAACCCCTATCGAAATGTTGTTCGCTTTTTTTTACCTTTTAAAAGTTAATTTTATACTAGACAAATAGTCATTTAATTATTTTTCTAATACTTAGACTTCAAATTCAACTAAAATTTTCCTTATTAAATTTTTTCCTTATGTGACCAATTTTTATAAATATCCTTTTGGAGTTTACTATGTGGCCATTAAAGTTGTTTTAATTCTTAGACTCCAGGTATATAATAGTATAGTTTTTCTCCAAATTACTAATAATTGTTTACTTAAAAATATGGTACATCCCTCAGTAATGCATGTTTGCCTTTTTCCTATTAAATTCTTAAGAGTTTTGATTTAATCTTAACTTTAAAATTCTAGAAGTCTGAACTAATATGGTGTTAATTTAGAAATAAATTAAGCCACACCCATACTATGATCAAATACAATTAATTTTTAAACTTAAAATAAACTGATGTATATGAAACTCTCGAAATAACTATAAATTTTTTCTCCAATAATTTTGAAAAATTGACCTCAACATTGTGAACTCTTAAAATTTTAATATTGTTATTAGCAGAGTGCATTCAGAGTGAGTTTAGGATAGTATTAAATTTTATTTGGTATTGGTTGAATGCGCAAAGAAGGGAATTTAGACTTAAATCAATAAGAATCCAGGCAACTTTTTTTACACAAGAAGAGGTTCAGTTGGCTTGTCTATAATTTTGATTAACTTTGAATGAAGAATAATTTTTTTGTTTTTGTATAATGACATTATGAACGTAGAGTTTACAAAGAGATGCTAAATGAGATAAAACAATATCTGCATCTTATATAAATACTATAGAACTAATTACACTAATATTCATTCAGAAAATACTGAATTTAACTATATATTATATCAATGTACTAATATTTATTTTCATCATTTAAACATATTACCTCCATTGCTATTTTTAATAATTTATATGTATTTTATATTGATTAACGTGATACAAACGTACTTACACTAAAATTAGTACTTACAAAAAGAGAGGAGAATATGAAATAAATAAAGGGTTAGAGAGATTAGGGTTAGCACTTGTCCATTCAAATGGCGGCTCGCCTGCTTTTCTGATCCATAATAATATGGCCCAATATCTAATAAGTACTGCCCACATTTTTAACACACTCCACTCTCAGCAAAATTAGCAATCTCCCAAGCTTTCAGCAATGGCGGCTTCATCAACTCTTTCCAGTTCCATCACCACCTTCAAACTGTCCCCGTGCCAACCACGCGCTTCCTTTATTATCGCCTCCGTCAAACTCCCTTCAGTTTCCTCCGATAACCCTTTCAATCCTTTAATTTCTCATTTTGGCCCAACTCCCAAAAGCCCCACCATCGCACCCCTCCGTTGTTCCGCCGTCTCCACCACACCGGAAACCACCACCACGACCGCCACAGCATTCCACGGCCTTTGCTACGTCGTCGGGGACAACATCGACACTGACCAAATCATCCCCGCAGAATACCTAACCCTAGTCCCGTCAAACCCAGACGAGTACAAAAAACTCGGGTCCTACGCGCTGTGCGGACTCCCTTCATCGTACCAAACCCGTTTCATCGACCCGGATGAATTCACATCCAAGTACTCCATCATCATAGGCGGCGACAACTTCGGGTGCGGGTCGTCGCGGGAGCACGCGCCGGTTGCTTTAGGAGCTGCGGGCGTGGCGGCGGTGGTGGCGGAGTCGTACGCGAGGATATTCTTCAGGAACTCGGTTGCGACTGGTGAAGTTTATCCGCTTGAATCGGAAGTGAGGATTTGTGAGGAGTGTAAGACGGGTGATGTGGTGACTGTTGAACTAGGAGAGAGTAGGTTGATTAATCATACGACTGGGAAAGAGTATAAATTGAAGCCAATTGGTGATGCTGGTCCTGTCATTGAAGCTGGTGGCATTTTTGCTTATGCAAGAAAGGCTGGAATGATTCCTTCCCGAGATGCTTAGTTTTTCAAAGTGGTAATTGATTCGGTTCAAATATTTTCTTTTAAAGTTTTGTATTGGTGAAAACAAATGATTGCATAATAAATATGGTGTTTGTTGTATGATTTGGAGAAAAAATCAGCACCTTTAAAAAGGTGTCTTGTGTTCTGTTATGCCTATTTCAGTATAATGGATAAACAACATCTGAATTCCAAAATAGTTGGGTTGACTGTATGATCCAAAATAGTTCTGTTATGTCTTAATTCTTTAAAATTAGATTGTTTTTATGTTTACTGTCAGCTCAGCATTGTTGCATCTTTGTCCGAGCTTGAGACGGCTTTGCTTTGTGACATAGGCTGTGTTATGTTTTATCAGAAGAACAAAAGGAAAGATGTAGGCTCTAGGTTGTGTTATAGTGGTTGCTGTATGATTTGGGAAAAAGATTCAGTTATCCTGAAAGGGTATGTTAGTAATGTTTTCTTATGCCTATATCATGAATCATACTTGTAATATGCTTATCATTATGGCAATTTGTACTTTGAAGAGACCCGGTGAGCTTTACTTTGCTAGATCTTTCATGTTACTAGAGTTGGCTTCCTGATGATTCTTTGTCACTAGCGTAAAACTCGAAAATCCGGAGTGACTTTGCTATGTGAAAAGCTTGAGTGTTTCTATTTTTCACTCTATGACGCTTGTTTGTTTTATCCAGCGCGATTGTGTGGTGATATATTGTTAGATTAAGTGAGGTCTTCATGATTTGAAATGATATTAGCTCTATCTATGTCTTGTGCTCTTCGGTTTAAAGCTCAACACCACTGTCCGAACATGATCCATGTTAGATCTCTCTGATTCTCGTTGCCTGTAGGTTAAGTTTTGTGAATTAGGATCCCGAAATGGTCGCTAAAACCTGGAATTTGATGTCCTGGCTTGGTAGCTTCAGTTGTAACTTTATACCACTGGATCTTCATTAGTTTTCAGTTAGCAAAGAGCAATAGATAAGGTGTGCCTGTGTTAAGATGAGAAGTTCTGGAATATCCATGACTAACTTGATATGTCCAGGGATTTTTTTTAAAAAAAAAACTCTAGCTGAATAGTTTTGCTTCTGCAAATAGCAAATAATCTGTTAAAATCATGTTATACCAATAGCTGTGACACTGTGACTCCAAAATAATGTACAAACTCATGGCGAAATTATTTCTAAGCTGGGTAATTCTGCTTCTGTCACTTGGTGATTTGCTCATTGGTTGAAATGTTTGAGCATGAGCATTGGGAAAGATGAGGCGTTCAGATTATACATTAGTTTGCAGGAACTGATCAATTCGCCTCTGGTTTATTGAATGCCTCGATTGGTTTGTCTTTGCTAGTTTCTGTTTGATGCTCGTCCCAATTTATTTCGCGTTGAAGTGCTCTCTGATCTTCTCGTCTTAAGAATTGTACACCTGCTGCATTCATAAGCAACTCCCTTGAGCATTTTATTTGTTCCTTAGGATTACACATGAAATAGGTAAGTTTAAGGTGTTTTTTCTGGTTTCTTGTTGAGTCCTGAAGAGCTGTAGCAGCCTGAAATTACTACTATTAATAAGCGGGAATGATGAGCTGCATCCGGTAAAACAAAAGAGCAGCATCCGGTCAGAAAGCGGGTCAGAAGGGTTTAATCATAATTTAATCAAAATACCCAACGTTATAGTTCGAAGCGTGCTGCCAGCTTTCTTCCAGGTTTGACATGTCGTTACCTAGCAAAATTTTGGATTGCTCATGGACTTCCTCTGTGAAATTATTCTCGCTTCTTCTGTTTTGTTTGTGCAAATCTTTGATGATTTTTCAAGTTCCTCCTCTTCTTTGCTCCGTCTTTCTCTTCCAAGTTTTTGCTATTTGGCTCATATACAGTAAAGGTATGATACCACCGTTATTTAGATTTAAGATTCAGTTTATTTTTAATCTGAACAATGTTTGCTTCTCATGTTTGAACTTGGGTTTGCATTAGAAGTGTTTGCGAAATTGCCCGAAAGAAACTACGATTGATCTAAGTTTTTTTAATATGTTGTTTCAACGAATCTTAACTCACACCTTCAAAGTGATTTAAACGTGCGGTTTACCTTTACAAAATTAGTTTTTTGATGTAGTTCTTGTGAACAATTTGATAAACCTATTTCTTCAAAATTTGAACTTTTTGCTTTTTGGATTTTTGTTTTTGGTTGATTCTTGAGGTTCTTTGAAACTGTTGCTTTTGTTAGGTTCTTTCAATTCTGATCTTGAGTAAACATTACTGTAATCTTGAGTGTTGAGAGAATTATTGGCAAAATAATGAGAACTTCTGCTTTTTTAATAGTTTTAGTTACTTTGGGACTGTATATTATGATCTGTGATGTTTTTCCATAAAATGAAAGTGTGTGTTTCAGCTTAGATCTTAATGTGCTTAAGATACTTTTGGCCAATTAGTTCACAAGAAAAATATGCTAGAAGTTCCTTCAGATGCGGATCTTGGCTGAGAAAATTGAGTTTGAATGGCTCTCGAGGTGGCTGACACGAGCCTCTTAGTACAATTACAGGAAATATAATAGCTATGAAATAAGTAGGAGAATCAAAAGAAAGGGTAATGCAACAGAGATAAGTTGGGGATGGGGGGACTTAGGACCTGGTCCTGACTTGTGAGATAAGAACACTATCATCTCTTCCCCTGTATATCCTTCTATTTTTCTCTTCACTTCTCGATTATTCACTGTGAATTATTTCGTTCGTATCTACAGATAGTTTATCTATCTTTGTTCTATTTAAATTTACCGCAAGCTCCCTAAATTTTGGTTGGAGCGTTGGTAATCACAATTTTTGTTGATAACTTTTAGTTTTCAGTTGTTTTGAATATTTTTTGATAGCATCTTTACGTACATGTTAGTAACTATTCTTGATTTGCACACATCTACTATGTCTTTTTGATAATATTTGGTAATATTCTTGATTTGCACACATCTACTATGTCTTTTTGATAATATTTGGTAATATTCTTGATTTGCACACATCTACTATGTCTTTTTGATAATATTTGGTAATATTCTTGATTTGCACACATCTACTATGTCTTTTTGATAATATTTGGTAATATTCTTGATTTGCACACATCTACTATGTCTTTTTGATAATATTTGGTAATATTCTTGATTTGCACACATCTACTATGTCTTTTTGATAATATTTGGTAATATTCTTGATTTGCACACATCTACTATGTCTTTTTGATAAAATTTGTCATCTGGTACCAACTAATCAGTTCAAAATTAAACACTCTTATCAAAACTTATAGTATCGGCTATTTTTATTTCAGAATCTCTGTTAGGAGACTTGTGCTTTTTGCTACTCTGGAGTGTAATTAGCCACTTCTATTGCCTACTTCGGAAATTTTTTATAAGTGAATTTGTGTTTCAATTGTGAACATACATTGTAGTCTACAGTTACTTTGCATTACTGTAAATAGGTACACCTATTATTTGTTTTTCATATTTCATGGATTTTTGTTTTCATTGTGGAGATAATTACGGATTCGTATTTTCCCATTTAGAAGAACTATATCAGTTGCTCTTCCGTCCTTAGATATTCAGGAGGTTTACAAGTTTCATGCTTTGGTCTGATAAAGGACCGCTTAAAAGATCAAGTTGGCTCTGACATACCTTTTTAAAGGTAGCAACTAAATCAGGCAGAGAAAAAAGAGAGTATGTACATAAAATCTCTCCATGACTAACTTGATATGTCCAGGGATTTTTTTAAAAAAAAAAACTCTAGTTGAATAGTTTTGCTTCTGCAAATAGCAAATCTATATGTTTTGCTGAGTTGCTTCTCTCTATTGTCAGTTTGTCGGAGTTTAAAAGGTAGATTGTGGGGGTGCATGTGTATCGTCTTTTATAATCGAGTTTCCCATAGGTATCGTACTCCAGGAAAGAACAGAAAAGCCAGGTTTGGCATCAAAGGGTTCAATAGAAGTTCCAAGAGTGGTAGTTTTCCTCGGGTAACTACTGAAGTGATCATTTGGTGGTGCCTCATCTTTCTAGGTAAGGGATGAACTTCTCAATTCAGGGTAAATTATAAGAATTTTTATGTGATTACTTTGGTGATGACTTGTAATTAGATAACGTATCTTTCTCCTTCTTTGTTTTACTTGAATAGAATGGGAGAAGTTTTTTGGTTCTACTGCTTTTCCCTTCTTCTTTCTTACCAGTAATCTGTTTCGCCTTGCGCTTCTTGAGTTGTATTTGCATTTTTTTCGTCGTTGCTTTCATGATTCTACTGTATTTGTCGCTCTGTTGAGGTTTCTTTTTTGTTCTTTCTTTATTGCTACCCTTTGTTACTCATGGGAGTTTGATGGTCATTTGTTAGTAGTCCCCTTCGTTTGGGGGTTCTTTTGTTGTTTAATCCTGTCAATGTCTTTTTAATATTTGTTCCTCATTTTCAAGGATGTCATTGTCTAGCAGAATTGGATGTCACACTGATAGTAATTTTTGGGTTGTTCTTGTGGAGGAAATTCGCCTTGTGAATCCTTAGAGCCAAGTAAGTATACTTGAAATGTAGTAACTAGGCTTAAAACTATACTCTTTTCCTTTTTGTTTCCAGAGAACAACTTGCAGCAGATTTGTCATTCTCCTTTTACGGATTTTCAGGATCGAATTCTTACTGTTGCTGAATATTGCTGTAAAAGAAATCCAGTTCTACTTATGATGAGTAATCCCTAAAGTATGCCAGCTGATCTTTTTCCAATGTTGCATAATTTTTGCATATTCTCTCATCTTTCATGGTTGGGACAAAGTTCATACACATACTTATCTTCTAATATCTTGTGATAACCAATGTGCTCAAATGCTTTTTATTTTGTGCTTTTAGTTTTACTATCATATTCCTACACAAATAACGCATATATGCACGAATGTGCAAATATTGTATAAATTGTTCATTCTTTTCCTTTAGGTACTGATTTTCCTGCTTTGCTTTGGTTAGTGATACATAAGACATCACTGTTTTTACTTCTGTCATGGAGACTTTAGGACTGCAAGTGTTTATGGAGTCAATGCAATATATGGTGTAAGTTAGTCAAATTNCTGATTTTCCTGCTCTGCTTTGGTTAGTGATACATAAGACATCGCTGTTTTTACTTCTGTCATGGAGACTTTAGGACTGCAAATGTTTATGGAGTCAATGCAACATATGGTGTAAGTTAGTCAAATTTATTACATTGAGATGTATGTTCTATGTGTGGTTGAAACATTACATCATTTCTTACAATCCTTCCTCTTAATTTTTTACACTAATGAGTGTCTACTTGACCTTCTATAGGAGGAAGAGTTCAATTTTACATCTCTCTTGCTATTAGAATGTAATATGGGTATGCTGCAATTATGAAAACGGACCTAAGGGATAATAGTTCCTACACGATAGTGCTAATTTGGTGTCTCTTTGTGTTTATTCGTGAACAATTTTAGGATTTTCTCCTCATGGTATTATTTATATTATAAATCAAAGTTTATTGTCTTGGGATTTTTCTCAATCATTTCCATGTGAATCGAGTCCTATCTCTATTTGACCATGCATGTCTAAATCTGATCTGAAATCGGACAGAAATAATTTGGTTGAGTATTAGAGTTTTGATTTTGAACAATTAGTGAAAGTGTGCAATGAAGTTCAGATAGGACTTCTGTTTGTAATGTGCTCTTTTATCTTTTGGTATTATAAGAATGTTTTTAACTTCTATGTACTACATTAGTTGCATATTGGACTATATGTATGTTGCCACGGGAATAGGTGATGTGCGACATGCCTCAATTTTGTGGTAGGTTCTCTTTCATTGTTCAGAAATATCTAGATTAGTAAGTGCTGAGCAAAATCCAACAGTGTGCAATTAAATACAGTATCAAACTATAAATATTCGTGTGTTTCTCTATTTGTGAGGCAATTCATTTCTATTCTCACTTCTTCTGATATGCTTCAAAACAAAGGGAAAGTTAACAAATTTACTTGGTAAGTATGGATAATGTGAATGGAAATATGGTTTCATCTGGATTACTACTCTTAAGTCTTAATTGCCACTAGATTCGTATAAAATCTAGATTAGTTTAACTTTTCTCCACCTATGAAGGAATGCACCACATTGGTACCGTACTCATCTATAGTACGAAACAGACATATTTTTGATAGTTTTGACATGATCTAGGTCCCCAAACAGTGAGCATCAAGTGTTTGTTAAAATGCTTGTTTATATGTCTCAACTGGACAGCGTGCACAAATGACTAAAGAATCTAAAATTGAAAGAATCATCCTGATAAGTTGTAAAATCCTTCAACTCTATTAACTTTCTGCTAACTCTGTCCTACTACATGGTTTTTTATTTTGCAGTAAATTGAAGGCCGCTGAGACTGTCTTTAAATGAAGAATAAGGGGAAAAAACTCAAATTGTAACTGCCCCTGATTCCAATAGGGTAACATGTCACTCCCCCTAATCTTAATCAAGAATGTGAAAATAAAGACACTTCCTTGATCCCCATAAAGATGCATCTTAATCAAATCAAATAGGCTAACGAATACACCATTTGACAGCAAGGAAATGACCAGTCATATATTAAATTATTAGCCTTTGTCTTCAAGACAACTATAAATTGAACTAAAACCATCGATATCTTGTGTCTATTTGCACAAAGCAGATAATTTGTGAATGTTAAGTTTAGTAGAAGCCCTATTTTTTGTTCTCCCATTTGGCCTTTGTCAGTGAGAGTGTGGAACTTAAAAAGTAAACATATGATTGTAGAGTTACCATTCTTAGTTGGTATTGTAGTTGAGCTATCCTCTTATTAAGTAACTCTTTTGTAGTTTCTTTGAGTTGTTTCTCCTTTTGTTCAGTATATATCAATCATTTCGGTGAGGCACATGGCATTTTGAAGGAAAATAATAGTGGGAAGTTTTCCCATTTTCTATTCTTCTATACCTTGTCATTGTACATTCGTCAAGAGTCCACATTGTAAAGTGCCGATGAAGTTTTTGCCTTTAGCATCAAGTGGAAGTGGACACTGTTGATATATAAAACTCTGAAATATATAGAGCTAATATATGTTTTATCTATAGTATCGGTTGAGCGTTGATAAGTTAGTAAGAGCGATTTTATTTTCAGCAGACCTTATTGAATGTATGGAAGTCCACAACTGCTGTCAAAGTTTTGCTATCTTGTATAGAAGAGGATGTTTCGAAGATATTATTTTAACATTAGAAGCTATGAAGAGTATCTATTCTGTTTTGGTGGTGTCTTCAATTTCTTATACAGGACATGGAATAGAAAAAACTAATTTCTCACCAATTCCATTATGTGCAGTGGTGCTTTCTTACTTTCAGTTTCCTGTCAATTTTTACGATTAAGGATGTGTCACGACCCCAACCCCAGTCATGATGGCGCCCAACACACTGCTAGGCAAGCCCGACCATTCAACAACATTATCCCAAATTCTTATTCAGATTATAGAAAAATATCACAGAGAATTTACTAAGTCATCACTCTCAAGTGTATAATTAATAATAAAACCTGCGGAAATTCAACTAAAATTCCACACCATAGCCCAATAGAATCCGGTGTCACGAATATGAGCCTCTAATACAGAATATCCACCTATTACAAGTCTGTCTAGGAAAAATGCGGAATAAAAGATAAAGATAGAGGGGAGAGATCAAGGCTGCAAACGTCATGCAGCTACCTCAATACTCCCGGATACTGCTGCTCAGCTAAACAAATCCTCACTCAGCCTGTGGTGTACCTGGATCTGCACGCAAGGTGCAGGGAGTAATGTGAGTACTCCGACCCAGTGAGTAGTAAACATAAATAAAGACTGAGAATAAGAAATCGTGAAAAAATACAAAGTAAACAATAACTGGCAGTTTAGAACAACAAATAGTGAAGCAACAAGTCAATTAAATCAGAGTACCAAATACTGAGACAGGTATAACAGATAAAAACAAATGCATGAGTGCAATGCAACTCTCTAGTACCCACTGCGGCGTGCAGCCCGAGCTATCCATTTTATTTATCGTCGACGACGCTCACTGGAGGTGTGTACAGACTCTGGAGGGGCTCCTACAGCCCAAGCACAATATCAAGCCATCTCGTGGCATCAAATCTAGGCCCTCGGCCTCATATCAATCTCAGTATAATCACCCAGGCTCTCGGCCTCAATATCAATGTAATCAACCAGGCTCTCGGCCTCAATATCAATGTAATCAACCAGGCTCTCGGCCTCAATATCAATATAACACTGCTGCGGCGCGCAGCCCGATCCATGCTCAGTCCAGAAATCATCATAAGCCCCTTGGGCATTTGTAAAACAGTAGTTCTCAGCCCGAAATATCATTTAGAAATATCATTTAAGTTTTCAAATCTTAGAAAGATGGCTGAGTTTGCAAAACAGTATTTAAAACATTGGACTGAGGTCAAATGATATGCAAAATATGCGAAAGCAGTGATATCAATCCCTGAAGGATTCAAATAATTGGCAAGAAGCCTACAATTGGAAACATGACTGAGGATATAAATTCTTTAACAAAATAAGTGAGGAAAACCAGTCAAAAATCCCCTAAGGGTTCTACAGGTCGGCACAAGGCCCCAAGCATGGCAACAAGCCCAATTCACAATAATAAAGTATACGCCTCAACCAAAAATGTAGTAAAATATCTCTCGGGACGGACCAAGTCACAATCCCTAACGGTGCTCTACCCAACGCCCGTTATCCGGTGTGCAAGTCACCTCAATATAGCGTTACGATGTGAAATTTCGGGGTTTCAAACCCGCAGGATATCATTTACATCAATTACTCACCTCGAACTGGATAATTCTCTAGCTCACGACGCCTTTGCCCCTTGAATTGGCCTCCACGCGCGTCGAATCTATCCAAAATCAGAACGAATACGTCACAATATGCTAAGGGAACAAAGCTCAAGCGAAAACATTCGAAAAATATCAAAAATCTCGAAATTAGCAAAACCCGAGCCTCGGGGCCACGTCTCGGAATCGGGTAAAATTTACATTTTCAGAATCCTCATACCCTCACGAGTCTAACCGTGCCAAAATTATCCAACTCCGATACCATTTGGTCCTTCAAATCATCATTTTACATTTTTGAAAGGTT